GCTACTACTACTACTACTACTACTACTACTACTACTACTACTACTACTACTACTACTACTACTTACTAACCACGACTACTACCACCACCAGTACTCCTACTACTACTACTACTACTACTACTACTACTACTACTACTACTACGACTACTGTTACTACCACCACCACCACGTCTAGTCCTAGTCGAATTACTACTGCTACAGCTACTACTACTACTGCCATTACTACTACTACTACTACTACTACTAACGCCTAATATCCTACTTACGACCCTTCACATACCACTAAGTACTTACTAACTAATAACGACTACTACTAATACTACACTAATACTACCACTTCTACTAACTAGCATACACTACTACGTATTAATACGTACTACTACGACCACTACTACTATACTACTACTAACTACTAACTATACTAACGACTACTACTACTACTACTATATACTTACTACTACTACTACTACTACGACTACGACTACGACTACGATTACTACTACTACTACTACGACTACTACTACTACTACTATTGCTACTACTACTACTACTACTACTACTACTACCACTACCACTACCACTACCACTACGACTACTACTAACACTGCTCCCTCTATTCTTTCTCCGACTGCGACGACGACGACTACTACTACGACTACTACTACTACTACTACTACTACTACTACGACTACTACTACTACTACTACTACTACTACTACTGCTACTACTACTACTTCTACTACTACTGCTACTACTACCACTACTACTATACTGCTACTACTACTACTACTACTACTACTACTACTACTACTACTACTACTACTACTGCTACTACTACTACTACTGCTGCTACTACTACCACTACTACTATACTGCTACTACTGCTACTACTGCTACTACTACTACTACTACTACTACTACTACTACTACCAGACTGAGTATGAGTACGTATGAGCACGAGTGGAACTGAGGGTGAGTGAGTCTGAATATGGACTGTCCCGCGTGTTAGTGAGTCTCAGTGCGACTGAGTCTGAGTATGAGCGGGTCTGAGTGCGAGTGAGTCCGAGAGTGATGGGTCTGCTCGTCAGTGGGAGAGTGAGTGAGTCTGAATATGAGTGAGTCTGAGTGTGAGCCAGTCGGAGTGTGAGTGAGTCTGAGGGTGAGTGCGTCTGAGTATGGGTGAGTCTGAGTATGGGTGAGTTTGAGGATGAGTTAGTCCGAGTGTGAGGGCGAATGTCGTACCCACTGGCGCTCCCCCTTTGGAGAGTACTGGAACCAGCGCCTCGCATGCGACATCCGCATAATCTGTTTCGGATGTGGGAGATGCTGGGCACGCAAACAGGCAGAACGCCCGAGACGTCCCCATAAGCTGATCGCGCACGTGCGAATGTCATACCCCCTGGCGCTCCACTTTGGGATTGCTGAAACTGGCGCCTCTCCAGAGACATGCGCAACATCTGCTCCGAAAACAAAGTGTGTCGAGCATCCAAACAGGCAAACCGCCTGAGACATCCCCACAATCTGGTCGCGAACGAGCCCGTGCAATACCCCCTGCCAGCTTACGCTTGGCGTGTTGGAACCAGCGTTTCGCCTGAGACATCTTCACAACCTGCTGCGACAGCAAACGATGTTCAGCACCCGAACAGGCAAACCGCCCGAGACATCCCCACAATATGGGCGCGAACGGGCCTGTGACATTTTCAGAATTTGTTCCGGAAGCAGAGGATATTACGGTCCGTAACAGACGCCAGTATTTGTGTGCCCCACCCTGGGCGCCCCCCCTCTGAGGAGTGTGAAAGCAGCGTCTCGCCGAAGACATGTTCAGAATCTGTTCCGACAACAGAAGATGCCACGGTCCGAAACAGGCAAACCGCATGGGACACCCCCGCAAACTGGAGTGTCCGCATCCTTGGCGCCCCCCTTCATAGGAATGCTGAAACCAGTGCCTCGCCTGAGACATCTTCAGAATCTGCTCCGAAAGCAGGGGAAGTTACGGTCCGGAACAGGCAAACCGCCTGACACAATCCCACAATTTGGGCGCGAACCTCGGAGTGGCTTGACCCCGAATGCTACGCCTGCTAAATCGCGGGCAGCATTGGACAGCCAAAGGTGCACATCCTACGGTACGGCTCGTAACATGCAAACCGCTTGAGTGATTATGAGCATGAGCGAATCTGAGTATGAGAGGAGTACGAGTGAGAGCTAGTCTGAGTAAGACTGGGTCCGAGAGTGAGTGAGTCTGAATGTGAG